AGAGAGAGAGAGAGAGAGAGAGAGGCACAGAAAGAGAGAGGGGGGAGGGGAGCGTAATAGGAGGGTAGGCCCAAGGGGTAGGGTAGGGGCGGGGTGTATTGATCAGATTGTCCTCGTAAAACAGCTGGCTTGGCTCGCTTGTGGTGCCCATCTGGTGCTGTAAGAGTACACTTAGAGGGAGAGGGAGGGAAGGGGAGAGGGAGAGGGAGGGAGCGGGAAGGAGATGGAGAGAGATAGAGGAAGAGGGAGGGAGATTGAGAGAGAAAGAGGAAGAGAAGGTGTGGGTCGCTTGTTGTGCCCATGGAGTGTTGTAGTAGTACACTCTGATGTAGATTCTTGTGGGTCTTTTAGAGGAGGGGAGGGAGAGGAGAAGAGAGGGAGAGAGAATGAGAGGGAGAGAGAGAGAGAGAGAGAGAGAGAGAGAGAGAGAGACAGACAAAGAGAGAGGAGGGGGGGGGTAGCCTGGGCTCTTTATCCTAAATTATAATCTAACCAGGTACTGACACAAAGGAATGTACATCCTGAATCGTTTGTTTTAAGTAAGGAGAAGCACATTGACACAAAAACAGTCTTTAAAAGCTGGGGAAAAGTAAAACAAACAAAAATAGAGGGGACGAAAAGAAGCGGGGGAACACAAGTGGCCTCCTCCCTCCAACCACCCTCTTCCCATGGTTCTTCTTTTAGTTTTAGCAAGAGTTTTACAGCACTTGCAACAGTATAAGGTCATATAAGTGCTGAGAATTAGAGGTAATGATTCTTCTTGATGAAGGTAGGCAGGTTTATCCGGCTGATCAAACATGCTCTGTCTGACCTTGGCTGTTCGTTAGTCGTGTGCGCGCCTAGCTAAATGCCAACTGTGTATACTGGCATTTGGTGTGAACTGACACAGTGCATGGTTCGAACTATTCCAACCCTCAAATGACCAGCAGCTCACGGTTATGAAATGGCAATGGCATTTACAGGTCACTGCTTAGTGTCAGGAGCTTTTTCAGAACGCGCCAGGTGTATCAATAACTAATTAGGTGGGAGAAAATTCTAATACCTTAAATATACCCGTGTGTCTGCGGAAGTACTCGCAGCACAACACGGGTCTCCGCTCGAATGAATAGGGTTGCTACTGGTCAATTACTAGACAGTTTAGCTAAAGTTTTACGGCACTTGCAACACAGGTCATATAAATGTCGAAGATTAGTGGTGTTCCAAGGAGTAACAAACACAACAAAATTAAAACCAAAGACGTTTGACAGAAAAGAAGGAGCAAACCACACCAGAGCACGCACACCCCACCCAAACGTTCAGAAATTAACTTAGTTTAGTATAATGTAGACCGTGTGCATTATCCGCCCCTGGGGGAATACGCCAAGCTCGTTCTCCATGGAGTAAATTATGGAAACACATGGGCACACCGACGGGTCAATATATTAAGTGCATGGAAAAAAGCAAGATATGATGAAGCAACAGAGGGACGTACTTTGTTTTGTTTATTTATGTGAGTATCAAGAAGCCCATCGACACAATAATGGCCATTTGGTGCTGGGAGAAAAGTAAGACAGACAGACCGAGGAAAGGAAAAGAAAAGAAATGGGGCCAACTAGCGGCGCCCTCCAACCACCCGTGGCCAACAGTTCGATAGCAAACACACAGCAACATTATATTACATACATAGTGGCGAGTACATTTTGGTATTTTCTTTTTATAGATAATTATTTATAGAGCGTTTTATGGCACTTGCAATAAGGTTTTATAAGTGCCGAAGATTAGAGGTGTTACAAGGGAGTAACTAAAACAAAAGAGAGGAGAGATAAGGACGATAGACGGTTGATATGAAAGAAGGAGCAAACAACACTAGAGTACCCGCCAACCACCAACCGGGTCGTTTGGTGCAGCGAAAAATAGCAAGACAGGCAGACCACCAAAAAAAAAAGAAGAAAAGGAAAAGAAATGGCATCCTTCAACCATTCGTGGCCAACATTTCAAAAGCAAACGGACAGTAGCAACGCATCATGTACAAGATTTAGTTGCTAGCAACCCTCACGCAGTGTACAGTAAAAATAAAAATCGGCCCTTCGCTAACAAACCAAGACCACACACCGACTGGTAACTCGCCCTCACACAGACGCACACACCACCACCGCCCACTGGACCGGTCAGTTAGGAGTATGCGAGAACCATGCACAGAACACCGGGCTGGTCAGTTTGAGAGAACCATGCATAGCACAAAAGTTTATCGTGTTTTTCGGCCCTTCGTCGATATTACACCAAGACCGCTCGCCCCTGATAAGCCGTGATCACACTTATTACATTTTTGAGTACCAAGATCTAGAAACTAGAAGCACATCGACTGGTTCATTTGTTTGAGAAAAGAGAAGCACGTCGACACAATAACGGTCATTTAGTGCTTTGAAAAAGTAAGACAGAAACAAAAGAGGGAAAGTAAAGAAGTAGAAGTTACCAATGGCATCCTCCACACACCCGCATGGCATACATACATAGTACACGATGTATAATCATACATTAATTTTTTTTTTTATTATTTTAAAACACGATCGACTGGTCGTGGACGTATGACTGACTACTACCTAGAAGTCAGTGGTACCTGGCAAAAGCTAACTACCAAAACAGTAAACAGGTGTTCCGTTGTCTCGGAAGAATAGACGATGATAGGTTTGTCCCCCCCC